CAGGTCCCCCCCCAAAATGGAGGGGCCGGCTGGGGGCACCACTCTCCCCGCTCTGTAGTGGGAGTCCCCCTGCGTCACCCACCTGCTTTTGGTGGAGCTGACGACCGACATGGGGTGGTTTGAGTCGTCCTTCACCACCAGGATGTTGTTCTGCAGGGGAAGGAGGAAGAGAGGAGTGAAGGGATGGCCTGCAAGCGGGTGTCTGCCCCGCCAGACCCCCCACCCCGCTGGCCTCGGGGGGGCTGCTGCATGGTGGCCCCATTGCTCATCCCACCTAGCAGCTGAGAGCATCTGGCCTCAAGACATTTTGTGTCCTGGGTAAAGAGAGGCTGCAGGTCCTCTCGCCACCTCCCCCGGCCACGCGTGCATCCGCTTACTTTGTACTTGCGGAGTATGGAGGAGTGGTTCATGATCCGGTCGGGGTCTGCTCCATCCCGGGGCACCACCACGATCCCAAACTCCCCGACAATCACCTCCATCTAGGAGCAACCCAAAGCAGGGAGAGCTTTATAACCACCCCACACAAAACCTGCCACTGTCTGCCAAGCCCCCTGCACCATGAAAGCTGGACCATGGTCTGGATGGAGATAGATAGAAAGTGAATTTGAGGCTGTCTCAACAGCCGTTGGCAGAAACTTGGAATTATCAAGGCGTGGTGAGTGGTCTGCAGTAGATGAAATAAAAAGGCACAGGGTTAAATCCTATTGCTAGACGTTGAGGTTAGACTTTAGGGAGGACTTGCTGTGGTAGAAGGAGGGTGGCAGCAGAAGAGGTTGCCTGAGGAGGACGTGACCTCTGCCTCGCTGGGAGGCTTTAAGACCAGGGTGCCAACGGCATCCTGGCCTGTATCAGAACTAGTGTGGCCAGCAGGAGGAGGGAGGTGATCGTGCCCCTGTACTCAGCCCTGGTGAGGCCGCACCTCGAATCCTGTGTTCGGTTTTGGGCCCCTCACTCCAAGAAGGACATTGAGGTGCTGGAGCGTGTCCAGAGAAGGGCAACGAAGCTGGTGAAGGGCCTGGAGCACAAGTCTGATGAGGAGCGGCTGGGGGAACTGGGGCTGTTTAGCCTGGAGAAGAGGAGGCTGAGGGGAGACCTCATCGCGCTCTACAACTCCCTGAAAGGAGGTTGGAGCGAGGTGGGGGTTGGTCTCTTCTCCCAAGTAACAAGCGATAGGACGAGAGGAAATGGCCTCGAGTTGCACCAAGGGAGGTTTAGATTGGACATTAGGAAAAATTTCTTCACTGAAAGAGTGGTCAGGCCTTGGAACAGGCTGCCCAGGGAAGTGGTGGAGTCACCATCCCTGGAGGTATTTAAAAGACGTGTAGATGAGGCGCTTAGGGACATGGTTTAGTGGGCATGGGGGTGTTGGGTTGACGGTTGGACTTGATGATCTTAGAGGTCTTTTCCAACCTTAATGATTCTATGATTCTATGATTCTATGATGTGTTGGTCCTGACAGAGGTCTTGTAGGGTTGGTCTTCCAAGGCTGGTGGCCAAGTTTGCAACCACGTGGGGATGGCTCCCACTGCTCACACCCGTCTTGGGTGAGACAAACCAGGCTCATCCGAAAGAGCTCTGGGTCAGCAAATTCAGGCAGCAGGAGCCCGTGAGGTGGTGCTGGTGCAGAACGCCTCCTCTGCCTGTGCTTTGACAGCCAATTTTTGCATCCTTTGTGCTGGGCTTCAAGATTTGCCTCATCTCAGATTTTGCAGCCTTTCAGAAGAGACATCTGCTAGCTTGTTTTAAAAAACTTAGGACTGAAGATGTGTAAGTGATTTTAGAAATGGTTGAGAGGCTCAAGGCGGGGGGGTGCATGTTGACCGCCCGATTTCAGCAAAGAGCCAGGTGAGCTCCCATAGCCAGCACCGCTCCGACTGCCGAGAGCAGCACACGGGTCGGTAACCCAGCCCCTCTGTCTAGGGCTGGTGTCCTCCCATGAAATTGTGGCTTCTTCGGGCAGGGACCGCAGTGCCCAGGGTGCTGGGTGTCCTGCTGCAGTCCTTCACTAATGGGGCGGGGGGCACAGAGAGGTGGGCAGCGGATTTTGAGTTGCGGCAGTGAAGGTGCTGAGATGGGCTCGTGTCAGCTGAGAGTTGGTGTTGGGCATCATCTGGCTGAGGAGTCAAGGTTGTTTTACTTCTCGGTCTTCGTAAAGATGGGTACTTGGGTACCCCACATTGCAGGAAAAGCCTTTTATTAAGTGAAAGCTGTTGAGTTGGCTGTAAATGTGTTTAATTTCTAACGTCTGACCAATTTTTGCAAATATCTTATTTCCTACCTCCACACCTCACTCTGCTGGGACTGGCATCTACTTGATGCCGGCTCCTTCCAGGGGATGAGGAGTGGGAGCGCAAATCCCTTGGGACAGGCTTACCCTGCACCCCGGGCGACGTTCTCTGCGTGAGCGGTGAGCGGGAGCGGGGTTTGGGTCTGCGGAAGGGGAGCCTGGGTAGGGTTGGTGACCACCATGTCCCTCAGGCTGCCCGTCTGTAGGGGAGGTGGGGGTCAGGGTTGGGATGGAGGAGGCAGCAGGGATGGTGGGCACAGCTCCTGCCATCCCAAAGGGACCTGAGCGGCTCCCAGGAAGCTCTGGGTGTGGGAAGCAGAGGAGGAGGAGGAGGAGGAAGGGAGCCTGGGGAAGAGGAGCACGGAGGGGTGCCCAGCGGTGGTGACTCACGTCCGCCTCGTTCCAGAGACCGGGGATGCAGAAGGACTCCAGCAGGTCGCTGCCACAGAGCAGTAGGATGCGAAGCTCTGAAGAAAAGAAGCGGAGAAGCTCAGAGGTGGGAGCAAACAGGGCTGAGCAGGCGCCGCCCCCCCGCCATCCCATTGCACTGCTCGGGGGATCCTCTTCTGCACAGACCCACCCCCCCGCCAAAACAAGTCCTGCTAAAGATCCCGTGGTCCTTCTCACATCCCTGCTGGTGCCAAACATCAAATACCCCCTACCCTGCTTTATTTCGGCTCCTCTCCCATGCTGCTGGGTTGTTGTCAGCATGTTCAACCGCGGCTGTGCCCCAGCCCTGGAGGTGGGGTATCCCCTGGGAAAGGAGACATTTCTCCATGCTATGGGCGCCCACAATCGCTTCATGTTCTGCTGCAGGGGCTCCAGCCACGGGGCAACGGGGAGAGCCCAGGGGACTGCTCAGAGCCTTGGGCATGGCCGTGTTTGCTTTGGCAAAGCTGCTCATGAAACACCAGAGGTTTTCCTTGCACACCTTGGAGGACTTCCACATCTTTCTCTCCCCAGGCTGGGACTGGTGCTTGCTGACAGCCTGCTTTGAGGGTTGGCTTTGCTGCTCAGTAAGCGCAGCGAGAAAGTTGTGCTGCAGGAAGGAGCTTTCTGCTCCGACGGGCCCGTAAGGATTAATTTATTTGCACAAATACCAGAAGAAAGCCATAAACCCAACCGGAGGGGTGGGAAGAGGCGGCTGCATGGGAAAGTGCCTCCCTGGTTGGCGTTTCCAGGTGGCCAAAGCCTTTGGGTTCTGCATGGTGCCCGTGCTAGGCTGGGTGGTTGTGGCAAGCTGTGTGTTGAGCTAGCCCATGAAACGGGTCTCGAAAACACCAGCGAGCTGTCGGTGGGCCGCGCTCCCCGCGCAGAGCCCTGGGTGATGTACGGCGGTGCCAACCGCATGGCAGCCTGGTGGGTTTAAAACCCCTAAAGGGCTTCAGAGAAAGGAGCACCACGGCTGCTCAGGCGGCCGAAATCCCTCCCGCTGCTGAGCGCACAGCTCATCAGGGCCGCGGGCAATGCGAGGACGCGGGTGACACCGCTGCCGGAGGGCAGGTTTCATGGCGTGTGGGGTGACTTTCAAAGCACGATGCCACGGCGGCTCCGTGCCAGCGCTGGGAGCCGGGTCTCCGCAGCTTGCTCCCTTATTTTAGGCTGTTTGTCTGCCGACAGGACAGGGCTCAGGCCAGTTTGGCGCTGCTCTTGTTTTACCCCTGAGCG